AGACAGTGGTGTGATTTCAGAGAATTATTGAAATTCAAGATGTTGAAACAATGTGATATGCATCTAGCTTTTTATAGAGATGATCTGTTTTCTTGTATCTGCATATAAATTAGCTCAAGGCTATGCTCCACAGCAGGCAAGCCAAATGCACTTGTACTTATCAAATCCACAAAATTGGTGCTATGCTACTTTTTACTGTTGTATTTTACTGTTATGCCTTTGTTTGGCTATTAAAAGGGAACCACTTACAGTCTGAGCAAGCTTATTACTGAATAAGCTTTGGTGGAATAAAACTCAAATTACAATCTTGTGTCTCCTTAAGGTGAAACACTTTCCTCTGACTCAGTTTGTTTTAGCAGCTATTCACAAATCATTTATTTAGGTGAAAAGCAGAGTTAAAGAACTGGACAATTGGTGTAGAACAGTGGTCTGCACAGAGCAGTTAAAGATGGTTCAATAATATTGCATCATCTGTTTATTTAAGGTTCGCTAATTATGATAAGAGCAAGAAAGGAAAAACGCTGTATTTATGGAAATCAATTGATCCAAAAATTGTCATGTGAAACGGTATTTCAAGAAGAGTTCATAAAAACTTGAGCAATTAGAGTTGGGATTAAACCATGCACCTCCATAACACTACTTTGAATATTCATCACACAACTTGCTTAACACACCGATAAAAAGCATTTTGGGGGGAAGATAGGCAGGGATCCACTTGTTAATGGATTTTATCAAGTCACACAACATACAAGAGAACGTTTATCCGCTTCCCAAATCGAACTTTACTCGATGCCTACATTGTATCTTTCACAAGCAGGAAGTTTTGAATAGGTCTCTCAGGAAGCAATAATTTAAATGTATTTACTTTCGCATCAAATAGGTGTGAAGGACTTTCAGAGACACGAGAAAAGCATTCAATGGCCAAATTTGTGTCTTGAAGAAGGTATTCTTCAGAAGAAATTGAGATAAATTGGTGGTAGTGTTGTCGTCAAGGATGCGCGTCGATTTACTAGGCTTGTGTGACACCACCGTTCTGGGAGTCACAAAATGACTAATGAGCGGATGCGAGAGCAATATTATTTAAACTTACGATATTAAAATGAAACCTGAATTGCACTGCGTCCGTAACGTAAAACAAAACAACTATTTGAGACAATATCGCATTTTTTTTTTTCTGAAAAGAATAAATAGCCGACGACATCGATTCATGGACGTTCGGGTGGCAACGCTTGTCGGGGAAGTATTTTCTTTAGAATTACCATCTTGTACCTGCGTTCAAGGTGCTGAAGACATGGCAGCTCAAGCGTGTATGTAGCAAGCAATAATTTATAAGCTCCTTTTGTGGCTCCGCACCTAAGTCTGACTTGCGTTGAACCCGACACAAACACTGGCGAATAACAAAGTCTCGGGTAGCCGCACTCTCACGAAAATATGTTTGTTTAACATCGGATAAATTGTAAAACCGGTCCTCTCCAAGTTGACATGCTAAACTACTCTGTTAAACGCAATAAAACATGTGCGACTGAACCTGCACTATTCACCTGAAGTGTCGCTCAACTGATCTACTTGGAAAGGGTGGCAAAACACGGTACGCAAACCGAATCACTGCTCTACTAGTAGCTTCCTTTGTTGTCTTTATTGAAATGGACTTTGAGAACCTGTAATTATTCAATTTTACAGAAAACAAACTAGAAAAAAGATATAGTCTGTAACACACAACGAGTCGCTGCGGCAAAGTAATGGCTCGGGAAAACCCCCAAAATATCGCGTGTTTGTTAGAATATAAACTCGGCTCTCGACCGCTCTGCCCGCCGTAGGAGGTGAGCGGCTTCTTCAGGCCCTAGCACTCACTCGCTCAATTTATTTTGGAGTGGGCGTACTGACGATACAAACAATTTAGAATGGCATTTTCACTTAAGATGGGGTCCGATCCGTTATCCTGATACAAAACTGGAGAAACAGATTCGCATCTTAACACGGAACTAAAGCGTTTGGCGACCAATGAAACTGCCCTTCTCGTTTACAAGCTGGCTTCCGAACGTTATATTTCCGTTTAGGGCGGCCTTGAAAAGACTAACGCTTTGCAAATTACGCTCAAAATACTAGCTTAACAGCATGAAACCATGAGGAATTACAATTCTTAGAAGGACAGTTTGATAAAAAAAATTCACAAGTATAAATGGAAAGCCACTGCCATGCTGTTGTCAAGCAAACAATTCGAAGTCCTGATCTTTTGATCGAGCTATATGCATCACACGATATTTAAACACCCTTCCACGCTAAATTTAACGCACTTAACAGTAACAAGTCTTACCTTCGGTTGAGGTCTTTTGGGCACAGCGACTTTCGGATCGATCTGCATTAGCGTTAAACATATGTACAAGGTGTTAGCGTAGATGTGGTTAAGCTCGCTAAAGTTGAAGCTCAGAGTACATCTTAACATTACAATGGCTTCGTCGTGTGAATTTAATTTCCCCAGGCACGAACATCACTTAAAGCGAAAATGCACCCCCTTTTCGGCTAAAATACGGCAAATTGAAAATAAAGGCTTTGCAAGTAAGCGTTGGAAGTTTAATTCATTGAAAGAGTTTATTTCAAGCTTTAGGTACCTTGATCGTATTAAAATACGGACACGCCAGACGTTTGCAGATGGAGCGTGAAAATTAGTCTTGAACGAATCCATCTCTATGGCGCGCGCAAAAAAATAATCACAAAATTTTCCGTACAAACCTTCTTGTGGTCAAGATCGTGTGGGCATGCTTTCAACACCGCATCTACAGCGGTTGGATCCTCAAAAGTAACAAACCCAAACCCCCTGGAATATGGATACAAAAACAGAATTTAAGCCACCATCATTATGTTGCATATTGCATATTCTTCAGACATGCCATTTACAATACAAAGCTCATCGCGCAACGGTGTCTAAGGTGGAAGCAAGGTCGGTGTTTCCTACACCAGCCTCTGGCTTTTACCTCGATTGTTTTGTGTTAGGATCCCTCATCACTAAGCACTCCTTTAGATCTCCAAACTTGCTAAAGTATTCCTGCAGACCCTCTGAAACAGACGACAAAAACGGACCGTTACGGAACCGTGAACTTAACCACAACCGATTGTTCCAAACGTGACTCATCTCAGCTCATTTTGTCGGCGTAGGAAAACCAACTCCACGGCCCTTTTATTGCGGAAGAAAACGATTTACGACTGCAACAATATCCAAACTTATACAAGGATCAACAAAATTCCCAACCTGCCGTTGTTTCCCAACTCAGGCCTCCGACGAACATCTTCCTGTTGGAGAGGAGAAGAACGGACGACATAAGAAATTTATGCTTACAACAAAATTTGCTACCAGCTAAGTCACACCATCATTTCGTGCTAATAAAACACGAAGCCGGCTGGCAGAAATTCGGCTGGCGGAAGCGAGCAACTTACCCAGGATCGTTCGGGAGGTCGACTTTGGAGGCACCAGAGGTCTGTGGACTATCCGCCTCCATTTTTCCTACAACTACAACTAAACAAGAGATAGACTAACGAATGCCGACACGTGGATATTATATTCGGATTGGTTCGTGATGGGTGGTAATTTGGCGCCATTTGGAACTGGCACCTATGCTCTTGATTGATTGTGAGCTGTGGGCTTCTGTGATTGGTCCACGAAAGTCTCCCTCGCAACGCTGTTAGAAGCCGTGAGTGATGTGACACATGTTCGAATGTGGCCCGCCTTTCCTTTTGTCCTTCTCCAAGCCTATCCATTCTTCTTCCCTTTCATTGGATCAAAGTGACGAGACCCTTGAGAAACTGCCAATCAATTTGACAGCTGATTTGGATCGAAAGACGAATAAATTACCTCTGTAGACTAAGGACATTGTGAGTCTTTCTAATTTTAAGGTTCGGTGAGACAATCGCAGCGCGTATAAAAATAAACTACCGTTTGCATCTGATGACAGGAACACGATCGCAGCCAAGAAAGAATTGCCAAAGCTTTGCGACGTCTGAGTTACCTAATATTCAAACTCTGTTTTACAGGTCGGATCTTAAGTTTAAAACTTTCATGAAGAGGGTAGAATAAGCAATTTTGTTTACAATGGACATGTAAACACAAAAAAAATACTTAGCGAACCCTTAGGGAAAGTCGACAATTTCCGTGTAGTCTAGCGAAGCCTTTCGAAAACTTGATTAAACAGGTATTGCAGGTTAGCTTCTTGTAGTATATGGGAAGGTTTTGGTGTAACTCTTGTGGAGAAAACGAATTTAGAAATAGAGAGAAAACGTACTTGATCTGTAACTTTGCGGGACAAAACATGTAGCATCAACATAAATACACTCTACAGTATGGCGGCGTTATTATCCTTTTGTGACAAGGGTCTTATTGTCACACAACCCAATAACAACATTATCTATTCAAATAACGTGGTTTGCTGAGGAAAATGAAACCACCATAAATGAAAAATGAACAATCCAAGAGATTGTTCCTTGACTTCGTAAACATAGAATTAAAAGCAGAGCTCAGTGGCTGTTTGTGTCCCACACCCCTAGACCCTCTTATCTCCATCACGCCCACTTCCTGTGTGTAATTTTTCACACGTTCAAGTCTTCCCGTGGTTCTATATATACTCCTTACTGAGTGCACATACGAGGTCGCTGAATTGACGAAGAGGATACGATTGAGGCGAGCTCACTTCACAAATAATTGAAAGACCGTGTGGGAATTGACTCGCTCGTGAAGTGTTGACTTTTTGTATCGACTAAGTAGATGTCTTTCCTCGAGCAAATACTTACTACTTAGCTCAACTTAACTAATTTTAAGGACCCTTGTTAATATCACCTCAGTTCTGGGATTTTTAACCCAACTTAAAGCAACGGGGAGGGAAAGAATTAATTGAGCATGAGACTCAAAAAGAAAACTCACAACAGGCTGAAACGGGGTTGAATTTCTTAGTGCAACAAATACAGATTATGTTCATTTATCAAGCTTGTGGTTTACCGACAGAGCTTCATAGATAACACCTCGAAGGCGTGAAATTATGTCTAGAGATATTCTTGTTTGTATAATATTGTAATTCATCGGCAGTCTTTGCCATTTGAGCATTCCGGGAAAGGAAAAGGCTTGGATTATGAAAGCAGAAGCCAACAACTTCTGATGCATGTTGATTATTCTCTCGCTTAAGAATTGATGGAATGTCTGACGGTTTTCTTAAGACCCTTTCGCTCTGTCGAGCAAAACGTGCTAGTGTTAGAATATACATTCTCAGATTAGTATTAATTGTAGGATGAATGTTTTCACACAAAAGGAAAAGATATCTCTGAGCCATTCCTCATATGCAGCAGTCTATGAGTAGTTGGTGCCTCACTGAAGTCATAAGTTACCATAATTATTCGGTGGAATATTATGTCTACTTTGCTCTTTTTTTCTGTGAATGTTCCTAGTGTTATTATCTTTTTTTTTTTTTATCAAAATAAGCATTAACAGTAAAAATTTGCCCTCAGGCCTTAGCTCGGGTCTTGCCAGAAAGCTCTTGTTTTAAACTAAGCCGGCGCGGTTGTAACTACAAGAAGAGATGGCTTCGACATTAAACGCTCAGGTAACGTGAGTTTCTCGAGCACATTTGTACTCCATTTTAAAGTAACGTCAATACTCTTCACAGTCTACTTACAGGCTGTTTCATCTTTAGTTCAAGTTACCTTTGATTGGCTGGCAAAGTAACTTCTGTGCAAGAATTCCTGTGACTTCGTTCATCTTTTCTCTTTGAAGAACTGTACATCAATGATATCGATCAGATTTTACCAAGAAAGATAGAGCGAACAAGAAACTACACAACTGATGCTGGAGCACAAAATCCCAATGTGAAACCGCATTAAGCAAAATCGTTAAAGGAAAGTGCTGCTCCTAGACAGTAATTTCCTAATGCAAGGAGTCTATGGCCTTTCCAGTTTTAGGATGATGAGAGCCCAATCTTTGTTGCAATAAAAACTATTGGCACCCATTTTAATCTTCACTGACGGCCACTCGCAGATTTACTTTAAAAGATCACAAGTCTAACTATTTTATAAAAGAACTTAAGGAAAAATTATAGAAAGACATAGGAATGGTTGATGCATCGGGGAGAAATGCCTCTATTTATTGTCAGGTACGGAGCTGCAGCAATTAGAATTGTTACGCCAAGAGGCGGTGGATCTCTCACATTTCCGTGGCGGTTGCAACAAACTCCAGGATGGGACCAATTCAGTGGTAAAGGCCGGGGTCTTTTTGTTTCTGGGCCGCGTCCGTTATGAAGAGTTAACTCTACCCAAATTGACTTGTTTACTGGAAGTCTTAGACAGTCGTCTAGAGGGAACGAAGCCATGCTCTTTACCAAGCCCTTCGTGTATAAGACCTCTTTGTTTAATGGAATAAGGCAGACAGCAGTCATGTGATGGCGTCATGGTCGACACGGGTTTTATCTCACCTTTTATCGTGGAGATCATCTAACGCTAAGACCGGTGTTTTGTTCAAAGAAGGCCGGTTGGGGATACATTGTGTTTGTAAATGTCTATGTGGATCTTGGCTGGTATGTTTGCAGTTACTTTTGAATCGAGTTTGTTGGTCTTTGTTCTGAAATGTATATGGCAGTGTACATTGGTTAGCAGAAATTATCGCTTGCCGGAACTTGAATAATGTTGCAGGGACTTGTTTCTCTATGATGTGCTGAATCTTCGTTTCTTTAAAATTATTGAAGAAATCATGGCCTTATTTATCCAGAACACTAAGTCTGAGCTCGGTTGTACGTCTGAAAGCACTTTTAGCGTCCATTTATGTGCTATCATTACCGCGATTGAGCACAGAAGGGACTGAATTATAACCAGAAACCTTCCTTCCCCGGTTAGAGAGGCCTTCGAGTCTACAAACAAAGTTAACACTCCTGATGTGAAGAGACGGGGTCACACTGCCAAACTGCCATGGTTTGAAAAGCGCGAAACAGAGCTTGTAACTGTAACTGAAACTTGTGCCCAACAAGTGGGCAAGTTCAAGGGAAAAAATCTGAACTTGGAAACGCATTTGCGTAAGAAAGCTCCGAAGAGCTTGCTTCAAGAGGACAAACAACGATCACAAACACGAAGAGTTATTGTCGAAAGTTCAGACAGTCTTTGTGGATAATTGGTTTTTTAAGCTGTGGCTGATGCTCTTCGAACTGAACGCTCTGTCGCTGGTCAGCGAATTAAATGTAATGTTTATCATCTTTAAACGATCCCTAGTATTAAATAGCAAGTTCGTGTTTGTTATTGTAACCAGAATTTGCTCAGGTAGTTTCAAGAGGTATTTCAGGTTTATTCTTACAAAATTTTTAGAAGTCTCGAAAAATGTAATGCTAGAAACTGCAACATGTTGTTAAATACAAACATTAACTGGTTAAGGAGATTGAACCATTTGCAAAACTTTTCATGCATTAGTTGGGGTAAAAATGAATGAATCGACTTCTTGTGATGATCCGCGGAATTTTGCTATTGTAAAAGGCACATTGCACTGTCTTAGAACAACATGACATTACGTGAGTCATCGAATAGCGACGGTAAGGTGGTAATGCTAGGAAATAAGCTGAAAATATTACGGAAAGATTTTGAAATTTTATTGCGAAATTAACCAACCGAGCGGAAAATTCTATTATTTCCTATGGAGAGAGTCTGAAATATGAAGGTTACAACTTTGACATAGAAGCCCGAAGGACGTTATGTTGAGTGTAAAGGAAAACAGTCTTAAATTTAAGTGTGCGTGACCTATTCCTAGGTTGACGCAGTATTGGAAAAAAGATCTGTTATTGTTTCCCAAACATTGCACCTGAATATCAAGGAATGTTTGAGGCTAACGCTGGACATATTGAAGGCTAACAAGGTGATTACTATTGGAGCAAACGCTGCGAATAATTACTGAAATTTTGGAAGGTTGATTTAACCAAAAGGTGCCAAACAACTTTCCTTTGAAATAATATGACAAAATTTTGAAAGGTTGATTTAACCAAAAGGTGCCAAACAACTTTCCTTTGAAATAATATGACAAATGATATACATTTGCCCTGCAGCAAAAATGCCTCACAAGTAAACATTTTAAAAAACAATCTAATAAGTAAGGACAGCTTGGACACCTTCCTGAAACAACAGTTTACCTGTCGTAAGGCTACTAGGAAAGGCTTCAAAGGGAGAGATGTCTAGCTGGACATTAAGGCCATTTTCCCTTTTAAAATTCCTGTTTTTTTCCCCAGTTTCATGCAACCAAGGTAGTAAGTTTATTCTGCCTGTTGGCAGAAATGATTCTTATCTCAGAAAAAAAAACAATAAACGTAAAGATTCTGGCACCAAAACAATATAAAAATTTCATCACAGCCCTGTTGTGAAGAGCCAGCATTCCACAAGACACGAAGCTTCACGGGTGACCCGCCTCCTGTACATAGCTAAACAGCTGTGTAGAAATAACTAAGAGATGTTGAAATGAACCCCGTACAAGACTGGACTGAAGAAGCAACGAGAATTATATATTGTTTAATTCTATAGTATTGCAGTGTCCCAGTCAAGACTAAAATTAAAATGATCCATTAGAACAGCTGATGGGATAGTGTCTTTGATGCCTCTTTCGCCACGTGGTAATTATAGAGGCGGCACTGGTACCTTAAAAGCTGTAAATCTTCGGTCAGGAATATTACAAAAAACATAAACAAACGAAATCTGAGGACTTCGATTTTCAGTTGGTTAGTAAAATTGGTTTAATCAGGATTGTCTTCCGGGCTTTTGGAGGGGCTTTGTTTATTTGAAAAATGCATCAGGATTTGAAGGAAATATATCTGCTACACATTAGTGAACAACATTGTTTCTCAAAGCCAATATATTGCAACTGAATCAGTGTTTCTTAGTTATGTGCAATTGCTTTTACTAAAAACAATTAAGTTCGTTAAATGATGGACAGGTGTGCAATCCATATACCCTGGAGTTTGACAAAAAATCCTGTTTCCGAATGGTCTTAAAAAAACCATCGTTTAAGTTTTGCTAGGAAAAATCGAGAACTAAGGTCCAATATTGAATGATACTCCTTTAAGTGGTTTGTTGTTTGCCCGCAATCCTCAGACTCCAGCGTGGGATTTACTTGATGTTCATGTCTTGTTCTGATCCTTGTCTCTCTAGTTGGTTTTTATCTCTCTTAATTTTTAGTTCAATGTCTCTGATCGTACAGATTTCTTGGTCTCTACCTTTCGACTCTGTTACACTCCTTTTGCTTTTTTACTCCTCGTTAAAGAGTCTTTTGCCTTTCAGGGCAATATATGATGACGAGTCTGTCATCAAGTAGAACTGATCACTTAACTGAAAATGAGGAATAAAGTTTTATTAATTTACTCACAGAGGAAGTAACTGTTCTTGATTGCGATGAGGTTATAAAACACGTAATGTCTAATAAATCTTTTTTCATTGTTATCAATTTTTAAGCAGCTGAGGTTAAAAGTGTAGGTGAAATGAAACTATTTTTTAGTTGCATTGTAGTGAATGGATTTATTCTTGTTGTGATGAGTGTAGTGTCTTGTTTTGCCAAGCAAGTTTGTAACAAACTCCACTAAAAATAATGAAACCAAAGAGAAGAGAGAAATGGATTGTTCAATGGTGTAAAAACAGTTCCATTTTACGGAGTGTTTAAATACAATACATCACTGCAAAACTCATCTGTTTTGTTAAATAAATGTTATTAATGGTAATTGAGAAGTTCATTCGAAAATTTCGCTGTGAACGATTTATCAAATTTTTGCATTCAAGTCAAACGTGACCGCTGTTGACTAGATTTTTCCTGCAGGAGAAGATGTAGGGGCCATATTATTTAGCAAAATCTGGTCACAATTCAAATTAACTCCAGTTATTTTATGAAACAGTCGAGTGATTGTACTCATCTAATAACCGGCAGCCTACTATTAAACCAAGTGAATAAAGGGGGTAAGTTTCTAAAGAAACTGTGATGTTGCGTCGGTGGGAGAGTATAACAGGGTAATTAAGTTTTATCAACTGAGTTGATAACGTAAACTGGCCCCCGTAAAGATTTTAAAAGCTGACGTTTCGAGCGGTGGCCCTTCGTCAGAGCGATGGACCACTATTAAACCAGTTCTATTGCTAGCTGGAGAATTTCTTTCCAGCTGTAGTCTCCAACTGTTTGCACAAACACTGAATTATAGAAAAAAGTTAATACTCCAATTAAAAAAAATCTTTTGAAGCTGGCACTGGTTCGCCTGAGTCCACGGTAGACTTTGGAAAAGCTTTCTGGCAAACAATTAGTGCCAATAAAACATGTGTCCTTGTTTAGTTTGGAGGCCCACATGTTTTCCAATTGGCCTTGAAAGAGTCTAACTGAGTCTCACTGTTATTTTAACTTTTGAGTTTTAAGATGGTTAGACATGCACTGTCAATAAAACTATAACTTAGCGTTTCTGTCCGAGAATTCCTTTTTTTATTATTATCACTTTTATAATTATTATTATTTTAATGGTGCTGCTGTGTAATTTTTGGTGACTTCCGAAGATCCCGACAATTACCGTGACGTTCTCCTGCCGGGGAGACGCTTGCAAAAGCTACTTATCACTCTGCAGGGTTCGTGGTCTGTGCCCCAACAGTTTTAACTTGACTGCCTTCATCTTTATAATAAGACAGCCTCCAGAGCTTCGACTGAAGGTGACAGTACCACCAAGGCTTGAAGTAACTGGTGCCTTCGATAATATGGCGCTTGCATATTTGGGATTAAACAAGAAACGTGTTGTTGTTGTGAAAAATTTTTCTTTTTTTTTCTTCTTTTTTTTCAGGGTTAACTTGAACTTTTATAAGTTTTCGGTAAACTAAGGACTGAGCCAAAAGCTGTCACGCACTAAAATGAGAAACCACTCGACGGGCTATCTAGTCAGTCTTGCGCAATGATTCTTACCAAGTGTGCGTGAAGTTAGACAAGGGACACAGACAATAGCGTGATGTTTTCCTCGTGGCTCAACAAAGCTAATAAAAGGCTCTTTTTGAAATCGATTGTTTCTTTCTCTAATTAAAAATTATAAGGGAGGAGTCGTTAATGAATAACCACGAAAAATTTTGTCTTTTTGTGACTCTACTATGACGACTGCTTCGTTAACTTGGTGAAATACTCTCGAGTTGTATAAGGTTTAAGTGATTGTTGCAAGGAAAAATGAAAAATAGTAAGAATGAGATATAAAAAACTAACTCCGTGACTTGCTATGTAAATGGATGATTTCTAAATTGAAAGCCGCAAGGCCACTCGCGCCGGAGAAATATCGCGCCAGAGAAGTATGCTTAGAAACGTCACGTGTTGCGAAACACCATTTCGCAGCTTCGAATAGCGTTTGTGATTGTATATGTAAATGACAGTCTTCTCTCTTGACTGGTCTTGAATGTATTACGAAGTAAATTTTTAGAAATTCCACATGGCGCTATGCACTTAAACTGCTCGTTACGAGAAAAGAGAAAAAAATTTTGAATGAAAAATTTTAAGTAGACGATAATCATCCAGGGCCAATTCTGTGTAGTTCGTGAAACTAGGGTGACTTTGATATGTCTTAGAAATGTTGATAATTATGCAAAGGGTAACATACGAAATATTGAAATACAGAGTTAGAATCATAGGTGATTGATGTAATATATAGAAAGATGGGGACTTCAGAAATTTTCTAAGGATTACAAATTACTGATAACCTTTCAGAGAGTGACAATCATTTGATGAAGTATCTATGGTCTGTTGACATCTCAAGAAAAGAAAATACATTCCCATATCTATACTCTCTCTTCACTTAGTTACCTTCAATCCAAATTGTCATTCACGTATTTAGGCAGTTGAATAGAAGGAGCCGTGATGTCTATCCACTTCCCGTTTCAATCGCGCATTTCATACTCAAAACGTGGGTAAAAATAACTAACATTGTAGAGTTCGCTTTTACGATTTAACGTGATAAAGCTGGAAGGTGGAAACTTAAACGGTCAGTTTTGTGCATAATCTCAAATTTTCAAGTACTGAGGAAAGTGATACTGACTGAACGTGCCTTAAGTTTAAGTATCAGGAAAATGTGAATACGAAGTTGCGCAACATAAGCGGAAGAGACAGGTGTGAAGCGAGCACAACACACTGAGCAGAGTATCAAAACAAATGTTTGCCGCCAATGTGCTGCATCGCAATTAAATACAATAGCGACACCAAGCCATGACCTGTTGGTACGTTGCAACACAACTAAACGGCGTGTCTTTACTTAGAGGCTCGAAGAAAACTGAATTCACGAACCGATCACTATGGCTGATACTTGAACCAAATAAAAATAAAGTAGTGATGCGTGTTTTTCCACAGTCAAGTTTTAGTGGGACTCGCTGTCCGCGAAATAGTAATGATATTTATGTTATTAATTTAACTAGGAATTAATTCCTTGGTTATATGTTAATTAACGTGACCGTATCGTTAAACCCGCCTCAATTGTCTTTTTTACTTTCATTTCAATCATTCCTGCTCATTTTTATCTCTGCAATTTTTATGGTGGACCACGTTGGTTGAAATGGGTGCGAGGTTCGTCTCCTTTTCAATTTAACCACATCTTTTGTACGTGTGAAATGCGTTAATTTTGGGCAGAAAAAGATTTTTCTTATAATTGCAGTTAAAGGCGAACATGACATTGAGTGAGTTTAGTTTCTCGATAAGTTCTGTCTAGTTTCTTGCCGAAAATTAAGAGACAGTTAACAGCAGCCCAGAGACAACAATTTTTGTGCTGAGTTGATGTAAAAATGATCGTAATTGAAATTAGGAGAAGGCGGCGCTGGAATAGATTATATTCAAATCTATAGAACGAACTCAAACCGATCGTGATTTTCTTAGTGATCGCATTGTTCTATGTGCGAAAGAGGTGTACATTTTAAAGAAAAATGTTTTCCTCATGATGCCCGGCATGTTCAACACAACCTCCCGTTGGTCATCTTCAAGTTGTTGCACTAGGTTACACCAAGGTCAAAAGAACTGTACCTCTTTACACTCCATTGAAAAGGTCCCTCTACGAATACAAACTCGTGTCGCTCTTAAAAGTAAACCGCGTTTCTCTTGTCGGCTGTACTTAAGTTGCAAACATGCGAGTGATGTGCCTTCATCAATACAGTTTTAAAATGGCTGCTGTCGAGATTTGCATTTGAAAAGGCGGGTCGGGACTGCTATTGAATATAAGCACCAAATTAGAAAAGAATTACGGAAACAGAAAGACCTGCTTTCCAATTATCAACGAACTGTGTATTTATGAAACACTAATATCATCATGGAAGTTATAGAAAAAATCTGAGAAAAAGGGAAGTGTGGGATAATTGGGTTCTAGTGATTGTGGGTGTACGGGACTATGTCTCTCTGAGGACCTCTAGACCTTAGCGCTTTAAAGGCACTTCCGGTCCCCCCGGCCGGCCTGAACTGGAGGCTCCCTCAACAAACGATTTACTGACCAGAGAACTAGCCAAGCTCTGCGTGAGGAAGTTGGAGCGTCTAACAACTTAGCCCTTTAACCCCCTAGGAGAAACAATTATCTAATTTCTCCTTACAATATCACCCCTGAATCAAACACGAAGGTCACGAGAATAAAGAAAATTATCACCTCTTGACTGTAGAACAAATCCTCCTTGTCAGTACCTTAGGAAATGGGAAATGTATAGAGAACAGTATGGAGAATATGCATACTGATATAAGGGTTAAAGGGTTGATGGTCCCCAGCTCTTTTGAGGTGCCTCATCGTGGTTCAGCGGTGTACTTAGGCTGACGGCGGAACGTTTACGCTGCGACGAGGCTAGTGCGTGCTTACTAAGATCTTGGGGCCAACCACCCAAAGAGAAGTGGAACACCGTTTACAGGCTGTACCAAAAAAGCAGCTTTGCATGGCCTATTCTCTCAAAACAACATTTTACATTGGTGCTCGTTCAAGTACTTGTATGAAATATAAGGAATTTGTCAGGCTAGGTATGAAAATTTGTATCCATTACAGCGCCGGCCCTGAAGAAAACTAGTCGTGCTGGTCGAAATGTGGGTCTATCAAAAGTTCCGTTTGATTATATTTTCTTAGGAGCCCCTCAAAACTAAACGAGTTGTTACAGCCCAGGGTCAGATTAAAGGAAAGAAAAATACAGGAACGGTGGTATTTTAATTAACTTCTATGAGAGCTTATAATGCATTACAATGTAACTTACATAACGAAACTGACAACGGACTCGAAAACAGTTCGCTAATAGTGAATACAAACAAACAAAGTCGAAAATACCACTGGTTCAAGACTAATCAATCGTGAAACAATGTTGGGATGTCAAGCATTGCAAGGAAGGGAATTTGCAACAAGTCACTGATATTTATGCCCCAGCAAACCAGATCTGTTCCCTCTTAATTCAGCCAACGAAGAACCACACTCGACATTCAAACGATCGCAGACTTTAAGTTCATTATGGCAGCAAGATGTCAACTTCAATTCAGTCCACTATGAAAGAACAAAAAGTTATTTCCATGAAACGATTAAAAAATTAATAGTTCAATGGAAGTTTGATGAGACATAAAAGATTGATTACATGTGCAGTTTGGTGCTTGATGGGTTTAAAATATTGAGGATTTGCATACACGCTTAATGAAAAATCGTTAGCTACTCCTCAATTCTCTCCCTCATGTAACCGTGCAGAAATTGACATAAGTACCCGATTTGATACTTTTGATAAATTCTTGGGTCTTTGGGTTAGAAGAGAGTGACTAGGTATCAATGGAGGTACTTACTTACCTCAAAATTTTGTCAATCATCCCATTCCATTGTTTTTCACCCCAGTTTGATGAGGCATCACCTCCAATAAATATGTCATTTAAAAAGAACGTAGGTGTTCCCATCACTACCTCTGTGGAAAATACACGTAGAAACTTACCCATGATGCCTGATCTTGTGAACTGTAAATTCCCAGCAATAGATAGCTGAGCACTATTGCTCTTTGTTTTTTCCCCCTGCTGTATTTGCTTGCGACCATACACAATAAAATCGACGACGAAATCGCGCGCCGAAGGGTAAAGAGTCTCAAACCCGGCTGCAGATGTGTATATATATTAATCGCAACAAAGTTATCTCGGGAAATGTTCGTCATGCTCACTTAATGCAGTTTCGTATGTTAAAAGGGTCATCTACCACAGGTAAAGTTTTTCTTGTAACCGCACCTGATGTTTTACAACCCCTTAAGGGGGCTCTTAACCTAATTAGCTTACTAGAACAAGCGAATTTCCAAGCCATGCGTGCCTCGGACTCGATGTCATGACTTCTTAGTCCGTCACTCATCACCCTTGAGAGAATGCCAGCTCTTATTGCCATCTGCGTGATAACTCTGGCAATTTGAATAACACAAGTTTTCATCTTAAACTGATAGAAGGATACAATGAACATATATGTTGTGAGGCACAAAACATAATCGAGTTATCAAAACCAGACAGTTATTGATACCGTTTAGTCAATTACAATTTCAACAGGAGCGGAAGGGGGGGGGAAGAGAGTTGGGGTCATAAAGTGCGGACTACTTTCTCTTTGTCAATGAGAAGGGCCCTCTTGTATTCTTTAGCAAGACGCTAGTCAACATCATCATTGGTGGACTTCTTCTTTCACTCCTGCATCCGAAGAGACATTTTGTTTTTACCAAGGGGAATGGACACCGAATGCTCTTAAAAGCCGAAAACAAACTCGCGGAAATACACTTGCTTGACTGATCTCTTACTGTACAATATCCTCTGGGCTCATTGTCGAGGTCCTCGCCGAATTCTTGAGCTGATCTTGGTTTTTGAAAACATCATCCACCCATGGGAACAGTAAAGACGAATTGTAGGCTGCCACTGTGAACACACTCTGTGAAATAAAGTGTAAACAGGGTGCATGCCATGTCAATGTTGAAGCAAGTCCTACTTGACTTGAAGCCTGAAAAATGGCGACCTAACCGACAAATTTCGACATAGCACTCAGTGTTATGCTCAATGAACTGTCTTGTGTAAAACCGGGAATTACTTTAAAGACGCGTTTAAAAGTTCAATTTTTTCTGTCATTCCTTCCAGCCCCTCCCTTTCCCATTATGACCACGCCTCTTTGGAGTTAATACAAACTGATGGTTGCAAATATTAGAAGAAAAAAGATGCCAAAGAATCCCTAATACTTAATACAGGGGTAGGGGTAGGAGAAGCTATAGTAACGGTTGAAAGGCCAACGAAGTTGACTTGTGAAATTGAAGTGTATGTAGCCAAGTGGAAGCGCTGCTCAGAAATCTAGTGACTGTCGCCAGGTTTCTATGTGATCATCTCGAAATTTCAAATAGCGTACCCTTGAAGAGGGCGTTTGCAAACAAATTTCCGAAGCCTTTGGACGTAAAGGCAAAATATGGAAGACCTCGACGCTGTCTAATGTTACCTTTAAAGCCCTGAAGGCGTTGTCAAAGTACGCGAGGGCGAAGAAATGAACTGTCAGACGAATCTTCGTTGGTCCATACTTGTTGGCAAGTTTCTTAATCATAGGCCAAACTCGCTTCGAGTCAGCACAAGTGAGATCAAGAAATGCTGATAAGTGAATCGCAGCGTTAGATTTTCCACCATTGAAAACGAACCCTGGAGTACGTCTGGGAAGAGGGAATGGCAACATCGGAGGGTCGACATCGTCGTCTTTGAGTTGAGCAAGAAGTAATCAAGAATAACGAATTATTTTGGTAACTTTTCTTGAATACCATGCTTTTAATTAGGGCTTAATATGGAACCTCTACCAGCAATATCAATACGCTATCCAGCAAACGGGCAGAAAAACGGGAGATCAGACATATATATCACCCTTAGAGAAATGAGTAACTGAGGTGGAGAACCACTCATCAAGTACTAAGTTTTTGGGGTCTTCATTTCATTCTCCTGCGCATCAAAAGCAAAGAAAATTGATTGCGAGTGGGCCTTGATAGTCTCACTTGATTACCAACATGTACCAATATTAAATTCTGTAATGCTCTGTGTCGATACTGATTGGTCTCCAGTTTCTGAAACTGGTTTAACGTGACAGCAAGTATGAATGTAAGCTTACTCAGCCAAAATGAGTAACCTTTGAACTTCTGTGAACTAATACAATCATAGCGGCAAAACGTATTTAGTTCAACCGGGTTTACCTGAATGTAAATCAGAAACGGAGAACTGAAAACTGAAATTTTTCCCAGCCGGATTCAATTATTCACTAACTTGTATATTTGAATCCATCCAATTATTAGTTAATTTCGATGTTTAATTTTTGAAGATTATATATTCGTAAACGTACTTACCTTTGGAATTAGAAGCGAACACAGTAACAAGGAATCCGAATACCACATAAAGTTTTAAGGGTTCGGATCCACGGGGTCTGATTGAAGTTGTATTCAAGAGGCTCATAGTTAACGGGGAATGTCGGCGCACCAAGTAACGCCGCACCCTCAAGATTTTGGGCCGCTAAACATTAGTGGAAATAGCCGTGAAGTTATGCTAAAGCGAAGAAAAACAAACGACTAAAATTGCATTTATAATGGACCATGTTTGAAGAAGCTGTTGTCATTCACCAATCAAAACGTGCCTAAGAATGAGGACTCACTTAAATGAAGGACAGGAGGCTATTCATTAAACAAATCCATAGAAGGATTTAAATTCATCGCGATTTATTGAAAAAAGGAATCATGGTGTAAGCACTTCGGGCATGACGGAATAATAAGACTAATAAAAAAAGCTCCATTTCTAAGAGTAATTCTGCATGCACGATAGTAAAACTGAATCGAAACATTCCACGTGGCCGCTTAGAAAAAAGAAAGATACGAGAGTTATCATATGATTTTTGCCACTGTGCGATTTACTTATATTTTCCTTCACCTATGACGTTTGGGATAATGGATCACGATAATGACATAACACTGAGCTTCTGCTCGCTTTGTAGGACGTGATTCCAAATACAGCTGTGACGTTTTTGTTCGACATTGAATTAATGCTTTTTTCCTATGCATATTATTTCTTTAGACTTCCTCGATAAAGTCCACAGTGAGGCTCTCGTCTTACCTACCTATCATGACAGAGAGATCAATTCGTGGTAGCTTGATACTTCTGGTATCTATTGACACGTAGTCAAGCAGTTCCTTTTGATCTCGCAACCATGTTTCACTAAGTAGAGCAACATCCAATGTACATGTCTTCATCGTAAGTAGAAACTCTTTGAAGGTTGACGTCATTGCTTGAGTATTCAGATGCATGACTTTAAGATTACTGCAGTTGGAGCTGAGGATTTCTTGACTATTATCAACCAAGATTTCATCAAGAAAAGTGTCAGTGGTTGTCCAACTCAGAGCATGTGTGGAAAGGCAGTAAGGATACTAAACACTGGCCACATGTCCATGTCAGTGGTGTGTCGGCACGACCTTGTTTTACGTTAAAGCTAGCGACTCCAGAACAGCGAGCATGTGTTAATGACATGCAGACCTCGCAAAGGACACGCTTCTGATTTTTCCGAACTGTTTTCTCAAAAAAAGGACAAATAGCAGCAAAAATGTTGCGGTTACTCATTCTTTTATTTTTGGACGTGTCAGGAGTTGGGCCGGGATTTGATGCAATATCTCCAGCAGACATTAACAGCTAATAGGTAACCACACTATTCGGACGATATGTTATTCTCGACGCATGTCTCTTGGCCCTTTTAGCGCCCGAAATAGCGCCATTTACTTTACCGCTAACAAACCCCGCCTACGGACACACATGGGAAAGTGACATAGCCCACTGTATTACAGAATAAACAATAGTATTCTATACGATGGCTCAGGAGGCTCACAGTCCAGTTTTATTTTTTCACAGTCCAGTTGTATTTTTTTCACAGTCCAGTTTAATTTTTCCACAGTCCAGTTTTTTTTTTTACAGTCCAGTTTTACTTTTTTACAGTCCAGTTTTATTTTTACACAGTCCAGTTTTAATTTTTAATTTGGTTACCAGCTCTCTATATTGAGACGCAACCGCTATACGCATGCTCACGTGCTGTGAAAGCTGGCTTTTGGCGGGAATTTTAACACTACCAGTTTGTCTTACCTGATTCACGAAGTGAAGAGATGCCTTTGCCAATATATACGCCATGTATAAGAGTAAATGACGGATCCGCTGAAGATTATCTGGAGCTTATATCACAATATTTCAGACAAGACTACAATAATCTGGAAATATTTGAATTTCTGAAGCTCCATGGGGTGAGCTTTAGTTTATCAACTCTGAAGAGAAGGCTTGCCTCTTTAGGATTATCAAGAAAAACTAACATCTCTGATGATGAACTGAGAAGTGCCATTGAGAAGGAACTTGGTAAAAGTGGTTGTTTTGTGGGATGATGCAAGACGTGGGCAAGGATAAGAAAGAGGGGAATTGTAGTCAAAAGAGCAAGAGCAGTGACTCTTTTGAAGGAACTTGATCCCGACGGTGTAGAAACCTGGTGAAAGAAAAGGTTACGTCGTCGTGCATATCATACAAAAGAGGCAAATTTTATTTGGCATATTGATGGCCACGATTAATTAAAGCCATTCGGGTTCAGCGCACATGGCTGTGCTGATGGTTTCTCTCGAAGGCTTCTCTGGCTGGAGTTAGGCTCCACAAATAAGAATTCAGAAGTGATTGCCAAGTTCTACCTGGACACCGTGAAACAGTTAGGTGGTATACCCCGGAAGATCAGATCGGATGATGGGACTGAAAAAAGTGTGATTGAGGTACTTCATACTTTCCTTAGGTCATCCCATGCTGATAAAAATGCTGGCCCCAAATGTTTTAATATTGGCAGATCCACAGCTAATCAAAGAATTGAATCCTACGGGTCACAATTCGTAAGGGATGGTCCTGGTTGGTGGATCAATTTCTTCAAAGATTTGTCCGACATAGGTTTGCTGCGTTGTAAATGAAGATTGCAATATGTATGAGTGCATAACTTAACCAGGTTCCTAAGGGTTCTTATTATGATTAATATTATTAAAGGGCCCCTCCAGGGATTTTGTTGCTAATTTACCCTTTCAGGCTCCAAAGGCCTTGTTTTGGGATTTTGGTACGGTTTACAGTTGTAGGTAAGAGTGGGTCTATCCTTTTCTAATGCTTGCCGCATTGCCTCTTCAGTTGCGCTATTCGTTTTAGCAAGTTTAGTTTTTTAGTTTTTATCTCTCGTATTTTGTCCATTATTTTCTTTGTGGCTTGTTTTTTTCGATGTTTTTCGCTTTGTTGATTTTGTTTTTTGTCATCTTTTTATTAACACCACTTTCTGCTCTTTCACGTGATTTTGTATCTTATTCATTAGTTGTCACCTGTAATTACGTGATCACTAGCACCTCGATCTTATTTAAAGCTTTTTTTTATTCAAAAGTTGTAAATAACTGAAGAAGGTCTCTGACCGAAACGTTTTCATTAAATTTTTTATCTTTTTTACGACAGAAGTTGTCCATCCTCGCATTTTTTTAACTCTCTCTCTCGTTCTCTCTCTATATACATATATTTATATATATATATACATATATATATATATATATATATATATATATATATATACATATATATATATATATATATATATATATATACATACATACATATATATATATATATATATATATGCACATGCATTTCTATATATACACATATTCACACATACACAGGTTGGAACAGGAAACCATCTGGTATACCCACAAATTTTGGGTTTATGGAGAGTAAAAAGAATTATAACATCATCAGCTCTTCTACCAACTTTGGCTACATGAAAAAGGCCTTTAAACTACAGAGGTAAAGGTTCGTTAATCAATGTGGGCTGACCATGATAAAAGGTCTGAGGAGACCAATTGCCTAAATTGTCAAGTACAATGTAACCTTAGCTTTTCCTACAAATTTTGTAACTTGCTTGAAAAAGATGAATGATGAAACTATAACAGCAAAACAATGAAAACATACTTAAGAAGGGTTTCAATCTGAGGTATGTTGCATGGTGTATGTACTGTAGTATACACTATATTCCTATTTCAAAGAAAAATGAAAAACGTTGACTTTTAGATTACTTGGTGACAAAAACGACAAAACAAAGCATACAAATGAAACTGTTATCACAATTTTCAAATGAAAAAACACAGTACATCATTTTACCTGACTATCATGCAAACTATACAGTTTATTCCTTTGTAAGTCACATTATGTCCATCTCCCAAATATCCTTTTCCAAAATGTTGTTGAACTGCTCTCTCAGCTCAAAAAAATTGGAATAAATGGAAGGCAGTTCCAAGAGAGGTCCACATGTGTGAGCAATGGGCCTACAAGCAGCACCTTCAAATTTCGTGAACGTGACTTCAAGCTTGTTGGCAATCAAGACATCTGATGCAGTTGTGAATCTTAGGAATTGAATAAGCTTACCATTGTCTAAACCTCCTATATAACGTTGCAGAAATTTCAGAGCATCGCGTTCTACATCTGTGTTTGGCTGTGCTACTAAGGTTTCTAGAACTTTCTTGTTTGTTGGGTTTAATGTATCATATAGGCCTTGAATGCTACATGTAATGTATGTGCCATGTTGGCTGCACGCTTTTTTCTAAGGCTCTGTTCTATCCTATGTTTTCTCGATTTTCCTGCGTTGTGGCTGGGGAGGTTCGATTACCATCCGAGCCAAAACAAAGATCACCAGATTCCTGACGACCATACGGGGGTTTTACGACACGATAGCTCAATTCCTACGCGATTTTTTGCTGTGACCCTTAAAGTGGTTTTCGAGCGTAACGAGGGTGAAACTAATTCGAACTTGAACCTTCCTATTAGCAGAACTACAAGACATGGTACCACCGTCTTGGCTCTTCCTAGCCGAGTTTTCTGGATGTACTTGACTCTCCATATGGATATAGAGGCTAACCCTGGCCCGGAGGAAGACGCAGTTGCGACAAGAAGAAAAAGTTCACTGGAACCGTATTTAAATTATTGCCACCACAACAATAGCCTATTCAAGGAATGAATTACTCAATCTCAGATCGAAAGATTCCATCTCTCAAGACCTCTTACGTCTGCCTAAGAACCAGGACATCTTCAAAAGCAGGGGAGACCGTGCCGGAGTTTCATTCCGAAACAAGATTTTCAATATCCCCACATGTTATAGGCCTAAG